AAATATATATGTTTATTGATCTCAGAGAGGGAAGGAGCGGGAGAGAGAGATGGAAACATCAATGATGAGAGAGAATCATTGCTTGGCTGCCCCCTGCACGCCCTCTAGTGGAGATCGAGCCTGCATCCCGAGCATGTGCCCTTGACCAGAAGCGAACCCGGGACCCTTCAGTCTGCACGCCGACGCTCTATCCACTGAGCAACACCGACTAGGGCATGGGGCGTATGTTTTGCCCTTAGGGATCCCATAGTCAATGTGGTCCCTGAGAACGTGGCGGCATGCCACCAGCACGTGTCCCACACCGAAGGACACAGGGAAAGGTTATCGCCAAGATCTTCCGGGACGAGTCGAAAATATTTTAAATTGCCCCTAATCAGCTGTTAATTATAAAGAATCAACACCCAAACCATCAAATATTTAGGAAGGCACAGTTGGAAAAGTTACTCCATGTTTAAAATTGTTTATTGATGGATAGAGAGAGAAAGGGAGAGAGAGAGAAGCTTCTATTTGTCGTTCCGCTTATTTGTGCATCTTTGTTTGACTCTTGTGTTGGATACCCTGACTGGGGACACCGGCAACCTCGGCATATCAGACGACACTCCAACCAACGGAGCTGAACGGCCAGCACAGAAAGTTTCTATGAGTTTAGATAAAAACGCACTCAGAGGAAAATTCATAGCCTACAATTTTCTTTTAATGAATAAATGGAGCATACGCCTCAGTACGCTGTGGAGTCCCTTTGAGCTGAGGGGGTTTTGATCTGTGGGCAGGCCCATCCCATAGCCTCCCAGAAGGACCCACGGCCATTCTTGGTGACCATCTGGTCCCTCCCCACTGGACAGCTGGAATGTAGGGTGGGCAACTGTAGCAAACGCTAAGGGTTGCCTAGGTAACGTGGACTCTTCCACTCTCCTTTCCCACAGAACCACCTGCTCGGGGAACTGCCTTAGGCCGCCTGCTGCTCCCTGCCCACTGGCCGGCTGAAGCGTGGGACGCGTGACATAAACCTGGCCAACGACACATCTCTTGCCCACCATGTTGCCTCCTTCCAAGTTTTCCTCAGGCGCCTCTGACTAGGCCCTGGGTGTGACGACAGTGACCCCTGGTGGCGGGCCTCCAGCACCACCCTGCTCAGGCCAAAGCAAATCTGTGGGGTCCAGTGGATGCATCCCAAAGATGGGGTGGCTAAAAGCAAGGGGGGGGGGGCTTTCTGATGTCACCGAGTACCTTGAGGTGCTGAGAAGACTCTGGGCTCGGATCTGGGGGCTGGGTTAGAGCCCCCGCTCACCCAGCCTTTCCTGTCCTCACATTCGGAGCCAGTGAGCCTGTTGCTGCGGAGAGATGGACTGTGCACCTGCTTCCGAACGCCGAGACAGTTAAAAAACCACCGTGCCGCCCTCCAGGAAGTGTCTCCTCCTGAGACAGTGTTCAGACCCAGCTCCACCACGTCCAGGCCGTGCGCCCTGGGCAAGTGTGTTTACTCACTGGGTCTCACTCTCTCCATCTGTAAAATGGGGATAAAAATCTGTTCTTGCATCTGCATGAGTTGGCAGAGTAAGAGGAAACCCTGACCTTTAAATAAGAAGGGAAACCTATCTCAAACTCTCCTAAGAAGACAGGGTGGTTGAATCCGCTGCTCGGTAGCATCACCGGGGCCCATGCCTTTTCACCTCCGTCCCACCAGGCCCTTCCTGGTCACAGAACGGCTGCCGCGGTTCCAGACATCACTCCAGGCCTGACAGTGCCCAGCAAAGAAGGCAGTGTCTCCCTACACTCCCCCCATTTCCCCGACTTCCTCCTCCTCCAGGCTTGCCCTCCGGCTCACAGGTCAGAACGGCCTCATGTGGTTAACCTGGTAAAGGAAGCAGCCGGTGGTGAACTGTAAACAGCAGGTGCTGCTTAAGGAAGAGGGACACGACTTCTGGGGAGACAGCAGCGCCAGCCCGCACGCTCTGCACGTGGCCCCTGAGGACATGAGTGACACCGGTCGGTGCCTTGTCCGTGCCTTCTTTGTGTGATCCCTCCAAGAACACGGACTCCCAGCCTGGCCGCTCCTGCCCGAGCCCCTGCCCTCATCCCAGGGAGCTCCTGTCCTCTGGTCCATGGCCACCACCTCCTTTTCTCAGGCTCCACGCTTGGGCTGAACAGCGATCTCCCCAGTTTTAGACTGGAATCTAAAACATAAAAGGTGGGGGTGCTTGGTGTCAGGCAAACATTTCACCAGGCGGTCAAAGTGCAATAACTAGGAACACTCGTCTGGATTAGCTAGCGGCCCTGGCGTCCTAACAGCCGGGTGATCGGAATACAGAACCCCGGGGCGTGGACGCCCACTGCCGAGCGACTGCCGACCTTGGGAATGTCACAGGGGCGTCGGGGGAGATGAACAGAGCGGCTGGAAATGGCTTTTGATTTTTAAAAATCCCCAGCATTCATCTAAAACAACAATAACAGCTCATAATCACAGGGCGCGCGATAAGGAACTATTCACAGCAGAAGAGGTAATTGTTCAATTAAGACCCGAGAGTTCCCGAGACTGTCTTTTCTGAGGGGCCCCATTGTTTTCGACTCCAGTGGCGCTAATTATTCCCCAATAGTGCTTTACACTTGGAAGAAAAAGCCCTCCTGTCAAATATGACACAGAAGCGCTTTATCGCGGCGAATACACAGGCGCACGCGCACATCCTAAGAAATCCTCCTCGGAACAAAGTTAGGGCAGGTTCCGAGGAAGCTGACAGCCTCGGGATCAGAGAGCCTGCAGGCGACGC